AATTGCTGAAGTTGTTATTGATCAAAAAAAATAAAAAAAAAACTTAACTTTGATGGTAGCAGGGAAGGCAATCAAGGTCCTTTTGCCATTGGAGGAGTTTTCAGGAATGAAGAAGGAAATACCATTGCCCTCTTCTCAGGCCCAATTGGTGAAGGGGATTCTTTAAGAGCTGAAACTATGGGTGTTATGGAAGGGATCCAAAAGGCTAAAGAGCTGATTATCAGGAAGTTAGTAATAGAAGGTGATTCAAAGCTTGTAATTAGTTGGCTTAAAAAAAAGGAGGAAGAGGGGACCTGACAATTATACATCTACAGTATGCTGATGACACTTTAGTCTTCATGGATGCTTCAGTGGAGAAGTTGCTAAATCTAAGGGCAATATTGAAAAGCTTTGAATTGTTGGCTGGACTGAAATCAATTTGAAATTTTGAAGAAAAGTGTGATGATAGGAGTGGAGAACATACCCAATATATGTCTTGAAGAATGTGCAAAGGCACTAATAAAGGCTTTGGTGCAAAGGCTTTAGCTCTCTCAAACTGTTTGGTGGGAGAAATTCTGTTTTATTTGGTTCCCATTGGTGCAAAGGCTTTAGCTCTCTCAACCTGGCAACCAGTGATACAAAAAATAGATCAAAAGCTAGCAGGGTGGAAAGGGACGTATTTATCTTTGGGAGGAAGGATTACACTAATAAAGAGTCTGCTTTCCAATCTACCTGTTTATTATCTTTCAATTCTCAAGGTTCCATCTATAGGTACAGATGAGATTAAGAGGATTCAGAAGAAGCTTTTATGGAACTTCAATTCAGAAGTTAAAAAGTTCCATCTTGTTTAACAGGAATGGGTCTGCAGGGCAATGAAGGATGGAGGTTGGGCATTAGAAAGGTGAGGGTGATGAATAAGGCGTTATTGGGAAAGTGGGAGTAGAGGTTTGGGACTGAGAGAGAAGCTCTTGGGAGAAGGGTGGTGGAGTGTAAATTTGGAGTTATTATCTTTGGGTGGGATTCAAGGGAGGTAGCGTCATCTTATGCTTTGGGTGTTTGGGAGGTTATTATGAAATTTCATTATTTGATGGTCAACTTGACAGGATGGAGGGTAGGCTTGGGTAACGCCATTAGTTTTGGGAGGATGATTGGTTGGGAATTGGGAAACTCAGTGAGATATGTTCAACACTTTAAAATCTAAGTGAAAAGAATATTGTTATAGTACAATGTTATGAAGTTAAGCAGGATTTGGTGGCTTGGGCTCCAAAGTTTAGGAGGCCTTTTCTGGATAGAGAGGTGGAAGAATGCATACAGTTAGTCCAGATTACAAGAAGCAGAGATCAATGTCAAAAGGCCTGATGAGAGATGGTGGAAAGAGTGCAGAAATGGAAGATTTACAGTGAAATCTTTCTACAAAGCTCTTCTTAGAAGTCAGGTTGAAAGGTTAGAGATTAAAGGCATTTGGAGAAATCCAGTCCCTCAAGAGTAGAGGCTTTTGCATGGCTGGTGTCTTTAGACAGCATCCCGACACAAAATCATATCAAACAGAGAGGTATTCATCTAGCAAGCGTCTCTATGTGAATTGAAAGAAGAGGACGTGTTTCACTTTTTCCATGGCTGCAAGTTCTCCTTCTTTGTTTGGGGCTTCTTCTTCCATCTCTTCGACAAAGAAATTTGGTCACCGGGTTAACCAAGTGAAATCTTGGCATACTGTCCTAACTAGGGATGAGCATAATTCGGTTAAAACCGAAAAACCGAACCAAAATTTTGGTTTCGGTTTACGGTTTGGTTTCGGTTGCCAAAATCGGTTTTCGGTTTCGGTTGTCATGGTTCACAAATCGGTTAACCGAAAAAACCGATTTAAAGTTATATAAATTGTTTAATATTATCAATAGTTGATATGTAGATCAATGCATACTTGCGTAGGACTTAATAGAAAGTGGAAGCTGCCCAGCCCAATACGAGGAAACTTAAATGTCAAGACTATAAAGTTTAACTAAAGGGAAAACTAAAAAGAATAAGAGAAAAACCTTTGCAGGCCTTCTTTTCCTTCTTGAGCACGTCAGTCTCTACTCTTTAGAGTCTAGTCTATAGAGTCTACTCTCTAGAGTCTACAGTCTACTCTATAGAGTCTAGTCTATACTCTCTAAACTCAAACCCTCTCCTCTTCGTCTTCTTCTTCTCTTCCTCAAACTCCTCCAGCTCCAAGCCTCAAACTCTCAAACTTTCAAAGATTCCAAGTCTCCTAATTGGCCTAGAGTGAAAACTGCAGGCAGAAGACAAGAGAGGGAGCGGCAAAAACCAACGTCTCATACAATCATACTCTTGAGTCTCATCTCCATCTTTCAAACCCAGAACCAGAAGTCAGAAGACTCAGAACTCAGAAGTAAGAAGAGAGTGAGACAAGCAAGGCAGCGAGCTAATGGCAGCAACCAGATGATAGAGATTGCGAGGTTGCATCCTGCAACCATCGTTCTCTGTTTTGGTTGGGGGTGGATTTCTATTTTGGTTTTTAACCAAAATAACCGAATAAAATTTTGGTTTCGTTTGGTCGGTTTCAACCAATTTCAATTTTGGTTTGGTTTTAGCCTATGATAGATCAGTTGTAAAAAAATCGGTTTTTTCGGTTCAGTTTTTAACCGAACAAACCGAATGCTCACCCCTAGGCCTAACATACAAGGACGCAAAAAAAAAAAAAAAAAAAAAAAAAAAACTAAAATTTTTTGGAGCTGTATTGCTTTTGCAATCTGATAGGAAATATGGAAAGATAGGAATAAAAGAATTTTTGAAGGAAAGGCATGTAACAGGATGAAGACTTGCACATGGATTGGCTCAAGACTAATGGATTGGGTTCTAATTTTACCAGAATTCAGAGAAGATTTAAGAAGCTCCTTTGAGAAAAACTTTTGGGAAACAATTGGATGGGGCAGGGTTTCAGGGTAGCTTGCTTTGTTTTGATGTAAAATGAAGTAATCTATCTTTACTATATTGGTGATTTCTCATCACCTTTTTAATTTTTCTTTTTCTTATATTGTAATCTGTTGTTCTCTTTAGCTTTCCTCTCTCTTCAATAAAATTTTATTTTTTATTTACTACAAAAAAAAGCTTATCTCTCCCTGATCTTGTACTTGGCTTTGAATCTTTAATAAAACTTATCTGTCATTGATCAAAAAAAAAGATTATAAAACCAAGATGAATGAGTGGAATGAGCAAACTTTTGGGAGACTTCAAGAAAGGAAATTGGATATTTTGAATCAAATTGAGAATATAGATTTCTCAGAATTAGAAGAGGGGATAGAATTATTATAGGAAAATAACAGGAAAGGAGGATAATTAAAAGCTGAACTAGAAATCATTACTCAAAGAGAGGAAATAAATTGGAGATAAAAATCAAGGTGTAAATGGATGAAAGAAGGAGATGGGAATACCAAATGTTTTCATGCTTTAGCAAATGAAAGGAAAAAGAAATTAATAACAAATTTGAGGTAAATGGGGATAAAATCCTAGATGAGGGGGAGCTTGAAAACATTTTAACATCACACTTCAGGACATTATACGCTCCTCCATTGAATAAAAGCCCTATTTTGGGAAAAGTGCAATGGAATTTAATCCCAGAAGTGATGGCTGGGAAGTTAGAAGATCCTTTTGTGGAGAATGAAATTAGAAAAGCTGTTGTGGGGATGTCTGGAGACAAGGCTCTGGGTCCATATGGGTTTACAGTGACTTTTCCATGAATGTTGAGACATGGGACAGCATTAAGGAAGATTCTTTTTTTTTCTTTTTGAGAAAAGGTAAGGGATTGCATTAATAAATAAAAGATCCCTATTCAACAAGAGACTGCAACAGGGAATGTACAGGAACTTCCAAGTATTGCCATATCCCCAACCCATATATAAAAAAGGAATTAAAGCCCTTGTCTTTAAACAATTTATGAATGGTAAACCACAAAAACATCTTTCTTATAATTTTCTTGAATACAGAGCCACTAGAGTAGCTCCTTTCTTCAAAAATCCTAGCATTTCTTTCTTGCCATATACACCAAAAAACCACAGCTGGAACCATGTTCCAGGCCATCATTCCTCTTTTGATCAAACCTCCCATCCTCCACCCCTTCACAAAATCCACCACAGATTTAGGACAGCAACTCTTCACCTCAAACAAGTGCCAGATTCTGGACCAAATCTCATTAAAAAAACTGCACTCCAGTGAGATGACTCGTCTACTCTATGCAATCTGCAGATAGAACACAATAATCAAAATCCAGTATCATACCCTCCTTCAGAAAATTGTCCCTTGTTAGAATTCTGTTCAGGTAGGCAGTCCATACAAAAAAGGATACCTTTGATAGACATTCTTACAACATATTACAAGCCTCAGTAAAAATATATTTAGCAAAGACGGCTAGTATTTTGCTGTTTCAGTGGCATGACTGTTCAAATTTCAGTCATTTTCTCCAATTTAAACTTACAAATTCCACCAAACCAACCTAGTCACTACCTAATTGAACTAAAATTGTCCACCTGTAATCAAGTTGAAACATAAACCATAGGAGGCTAACGTTCATTTGGAACAAAAGGTGGTAACAAGTATGTGATTACTTTTGGTGTGTCCAAGAGTTTTAGAAAACTCTAAAAGCTCAGATTCTCAATTACACTTAAATCCTTCAGGGGCTGCAGCCATAATTTTCTCAAACTTCTTCATAATTCCTGCAGTTTCCAACAACTCCAACTCATTTACCATTTAATCACATCAACATTCTGAATCTTATTCAGAAAAGTTCTCTCGAAGATAAATTTCCAACATGGATATCAGATTAAGTGAATTCAAATAAGGAACTAAAATTTCCTTTAGGACTGCAAATTTCAGGAACATTTTACTCTTCAACAATACCTTAAAAGGCAAAAAGCTGCTTGGAATTAATTGGTCCGTTTGATTCGGCATCATACACTTAATGGATTCTGCTTTGAATGAGAAATGTAGAAAAAGTTTAAAATGGGAAAGCAAAAAATTAGCAACCGAACCTCTGCGCCAGTCTTCGCAGCATTTTCAACAACTTCAAGGAGTTGCTTCGAAGGTATTGGTCCAGTTGATTCGGCTCCCACTTTCGAGTATCGCTTCTCATTGGGAATTTCGGACAACAGAGATTTCGTGCAGAATCTTCTCGTGGGTGTTGTGGCGCAGGGTATAATCCTGGGGAACCCATGTTCCAGGCTTCTGAAACTACAATAACCCCTAGTGAAATTCAATGGAAGAAGCAGATTTTGCTGTATAAGTGGCAAAACTGATTTGGGTATTTGACAGTGTCTCAGACTCTGAGAAAATGTCGTTGAAGAAATTAGAGATTGACCCATTTGCAGGCTTATGGGAAAATAGCAGAATTTCCCAGGTTTTCTCGGTCTCTCTTTAAGGATGTGTGATGTGGTAAGGGGTAACGGGTGGAGTGTCAAATGTTTGCAGAACGGGTCGTGCAGCAAAGCAATCTACCTGCCGGACGACGAGTTATACTGAGTCTGACGTTACGCTGCGTTTGGTTGCAGTGCAATTATTTGTACTAGTACAAATACATGAGAGTGCAAACGAAAGGAACACAAATTATGGTTTAATTTTGTTTTAGATATCATTTCATTTTATTTCACATCTTATTTTACTTCATTTATACTACAATCAAACATAATAAGATAAATTTTGGAACAAAAAATAAGTTAAAATTTGCATCCAAATCATTTGTACTATCATAATTTTGCATCAATACAAATTTAATTTGCATTGCAATCAAACACAGCCTAAATTGTGTCATGACGAGCCGATATGGCATGACTTTTTAGGTTGCGTGCGTGCCTCATTTAGGATGAGCTCAACACAGCCCATGGCACAAGACCATGCGAGCCAAGCCCCGGACCGCACCTAGGCTAGGCAAGCTATGGTTTGGGCCGTAGGGTTGGGCCAAGTGGATTAGTATTTTTACTTTGTTTTTTGATATTTTTATTTCTTTCATTTTGTGGAATTTTTGTTAAGTAAAGTGATACAAACTTTGAGAAAAAAAAATTTAACAGAAAAAATACTTAATAAAATACAAAATAGACAATAAAGTGAAAAATATTAAAACTTTTATTTCATTTGAATTTGAATAATACTCAATACAATGGAATATTGGAAAATGGTGCTGCTGATGTGTCGGTTGGAAACACCCTAAAAGTTACTGCCAGGTAGGATGTTTCTTAAAGCAACAGCAACGTTTTCAACACAGGTAACCATTATCCAATGCCATGTCACTGCCACCTCACGTTCAAGTTCATATTGGCAGCAAGGAGCTGCAGCTCTAAGAAAGCCATGCCTTTCCAATTTTCAAGGCGTGGCTCTAAAGGCATGACTTGGAACACCATTTTTTATAAAAAAAATGGTTTCAAACAAATGCCATATTCTTGGAACACTGTTTTTTTCCACATGACGCTGATGTGACACCATCCAGAGGCCTAAGGCAAAGTTTCCCCTTATCATTTAGAAAGTGGACAATTGCATGGTATCGCGGGGAATTAGATGTTCTCCTGCAGAAATCAATTGTATCGAAGCACAACTTGATAACTTTTGTAAAGTTATCAAGTCCAGAGTTATATTCATCTTTTAGGGAGCTCGACGGATGGGAGGTGAGTTATACTCAGGCCTCCCCCTCCCATTAGGCCGACCCACAATGCTTATTGAAAGAATGAAACTCTTTGTGGTTGAGTAGCTCCCATGTTCAAAAATATTCTTCCCAAAAACCCAAAGAGGGGAAAATCTTTGTATTTTCAAAATAAAACAACTAGCAACGGCAAGAGATTGAACAACCAAAAATCTATTCTGTCCAAAAACTTGTACACTACTGCATTTTATGTCTCTAACCTAATGTTTTATTTCTTTTGGTATTTTATAGCGCTTTGTATTTGCAGTGGCTTCAACGGATTGAACAGGGTAAGAAATGCCCAAATCTCTGTTCACACAACCCATTGTCGTAGAGAAGCCTTTTCCCACATTCAAAAATATTCATCCCAAAATACTAGAGGTAAAAACTTCTATTTTCGTTATAGTAGCAGCAAGGTCTCTGTTCTAAGTTTGATTTGATCAATTTTTGTTATCTGTTTCTCTTATATTTATTCCACTTGCAGCAGAGGCAAGGTCTTGGGTAAATTTCTTAAACTGCCTTTATGATTTATGATACCCTTACCGTTTCAAAATTAACAGAAAGATGAAAAATACCATTTTACCCTTTAGTCTTCTTTAAATTTTCAAAATAAAGCCTTCATCGTCTAAGTCTAAGAATCAGCGTCTTTTGCTTTTTTCGGCTGGATATTCTGTCGGTCACGTGATGCTATAAGACAACAGTTCACTATCCTATTCCGCCACTACCGCTACAACTCAAACCAGCGGTGGTAGCAATCCCTACCTACCCTCTCCTTCGGTCTCCTTTTATCATTTTCTCTGCCTCTCCTTCATCCCGTTTCTCTCTCTTTCATCTTCCCTCCGCTTCCTCTTTCTCTTTCTTCTTCTTCCTCTCCTTCCTTTGTTTCCCGGTTACAGAAGAGAACCAGTCCAGCTAGGGGAGAGAGTAAGCAAAGAGAGTGATAGAGAGGGAATAAGAGGGAAGAGGGGAGAGAGCGATGGTTCGCCAATACTGTAAGTCGCAATGGCTGCGGTGGAGTTTCAGAACGAGTGAGCAGAACAGAGGAGTAGGAAAGATAGAAAAAATCACAGTATAGTTAACTTTTCCCCAACCATCTCAGATGATTCAGAAGATGATCCTGATGTACTTCTTTTTGAGAAAAATGGCTCATCTGATTCAGTGATTCTAACAAAAAAAAATGCGAGTTTTTAAATCTTTCCAAAAGCGCTTCCGTCTTTTCTGAGAAGAGATTCACTTGCAAAAATATCCCCATGCAGATCAACTTTCTCTGTAGTTAGCAGGGTGTCACCATTTTATTCTATACTTCGACTATCAGGACTCGCTTCTCCTTCGTCCAGTGATGGAACTGGATTTAATTCCCATACTACTGACAGTGGCGGACATTCATTTAGGCTAGTTATGTCTTGTTGATTGGCTAGTGCACGCAAAGAGCGCGTTGTCGTGCTAAGACGGTCTCACAGGGAACTGATTGGTTGTGGCAGTCAAAATTTCCCCGCCTTTCTTTCTCTAAGATTTTAAGGTCCTTCGCTTCGCCGAGCTGACCACCCCTCGTTTGTCCATAGCTGCTCCAGGTCGGTGGAGTGTTAATTATTCTGTTCTTGGGTTGCGCGAGCAAACGTAGAGTCTTGTTTTGCTAGGTTTGATGAACATTCAGCAGAAGAAGCATAGTGCTGTTTATCTACGTGTTTTTGTGCAGTAAAAATCCGCCAAAGTCGATTTTTACATAAAAAATGCCACCAGAAAACAAAATTGCAGATAGGTCAGGTTTGATATAAATATTGGCTGCCAACGTTGAATTTTATAGAAATCATGGTCGCCGGTGCAGTTCGAGGAACCGATTATTGTTTTTACCGAAATATTAACGGATGTTAACAGTTAGGATAGTCAATTTTTCAAACAGTAAAAGTACAAATTAAACCATAATAGTAATTTAAGAAACCCAAATCTATCATGTTTCATTAGATTTTGTTTTTTGTCTATATATTATATTTTATTCTTTTTTCATTATTTCTATTTCAAACAATGATTATTCGTTGTCACTTCAATTGAAGTTGTAGTCTTACAATTTTTTTCATTGTTCCCAGTTTATTCAAACCAATCTTTATATATTTTTTATTTGTTCTCATCTCAATTTGAACCAACCTGTTCATTGTTTTATCAAGTTTATCTATTTTCATGCACATCATCATCCATTTTATATTTCCATCCATCATTTTGTAAATTTTTGGAGCTTCATTTCAGCCTAAGGTGAGTTGGGTCTGTGTTGATTTGTATAAATATGTAATGCGCCATTATTTGTGAGTATATCAAACACATTTACAATTATTTAACAAGGAAAACATTAATTAATGAAGACAATTGACTTTAAAAGTTGAGAGGGTACCCTATGTTCAGCGCTAGGCTGAACTTGTGCTTGTATCGTATGTTTCAAACTTTTAGTGTGTAAGGGTTTCTGATTTTCAAAGTGTGCATGATTGATTTTTGCTCAACAGTCAAATCCAACATCCATAAAAATACAAAAATTGACTAGTGTTCTACTATGGTATTGATTTTTTTGTCACAAATTTAGCAGACCTGGTTTAGCACTAGGCCAGACTTAACCTCATTTGTATCATTTACAAAAGGGCTGAGATTGTATACTCCAAAAGAAGAATAGAGAGTAGCTTACTTGTGCAACTTTGAGCAATTCAATTTTAACTTTTCTAAGGTCTTTGGTGATCAGTAATGGTTGATGTTGTCTTGGTAACATCAACAATTGAAAATCATTCATTTTAGAAAAAAAAAAGGATTATTGGTGAGTTTACTTGGCAAAAAGACTATTTTTAGTGAAATTTTTAAGCTTACTTGACAAGCTAAACATGACTAACATCCATGCTTACCTTGAGAAAGGAGTGTTGGGTCGAGTGGTTAAGTGTTGGTGAGCTTATTTATCATTCTATGTCCTAGTTCTATGGTTTGTTATGGGCCTTTAGTTATTGGGCATAAGTTTGTTTTATTTTGTTCTATCTAGGTGTCCCATCACTAATTAGGGGCATTGTAGTTTTATTCTGTAATATCTTAATATTAATACAAATATTAGTTTCTAGGGCCGGTTGAGATGAGATTGCCGCCCATTCACTGATCTCTCTCTTCTCTTCTCTCCTTCTCTCCTTCTCCTCCTCCTCTTCTTCTACTTCTGCACTTCAGCAAACAATCATCATCATCCATTTACTATCCTAATTATATGGGATTGGCTACATGAATCATGTTTTGCCAATTCATTTTATTTAAAACCATATCTACTGTTAAACTATTAGTACTTAAATCATTTCTTACTACTTCTACCCATGTCTTTTTTAGTCTACCTCTACCTCTTTTAGCTCCTTCCAATTAACAAATTACTTGTAACGGGAGTTGGTGGTGGTCTTCTATTCATGTAACTAAAACAGCTTAGCCTATTCTCTTTCGTTTACTTATTGGAGCTATTCCTAGGTTTCTATGGATGGCTTCATCATCCTATCCTATTTAACTTTTCCACTCATCTATCTTAGCATTATCATTTCTGCCAAACTCATTTTCTAAGCATATTTCTTGACCACCCAACACTTTGCTCTATACAAACATAGCTAGCCTTATAATTGTTTTATAGGATTTTCCTTTTAATTTAAGTGGTATTCTCCTATCAAAAGTTCAAAAGCACCCCTCCACTTTTTACAACCTACTCTAATTCTCTAGATGACATCCTCCTCAGTCTCTCCCTTGTTATAAATTATTGAACCAAGGTCGCATTGAGTTATCTCTTGGTTTCCAATTGTATGTGTATCCTAATTTACACACATATTATTACTAAATTTACATGTCATTTACTGTGTTTTCATTCTACTTACTTTAAAACCTCTTGTTTCTAGGGCATTTGTCCATAAATTTAATTTTGCATTTAATTCTTCATTAATTTCATCTCATCTATAATTAGTGCACATAGAAAAGGGCTAAGTATTGAAACTTGCTAAAACCATAAAATCTAAAGTTTTTCCCACTAATATTCTAACGTTTCCCTTAACACTCCCTAGTTTAATTATATTTCTAATAGAAACATTTCATGACTATTTGCACTCAAAACAAATAATTAGATAATTGACATCTAAACTCAAAATGCCTTAAATGACAGCCATGTATTTAAAACCTCTTTCCATAAATGACAACATATATACCGGAGATATTCTTTGAAACCGCCGTGAGATTGGTGTGAACGCGTTCTTTGACGAGCAAATCCAGATTCTCAGTAACAATGGTTAGATCTTAGATGGACTGTTCTTTAAACAACCATGGATCATGGATTGATTCTCTGTATGTACTCTGAAATGGGTTTGATTCTCTTGTCTAGTTTGATTAAACAACGAAACAAGAAGGCAACCAAACACTTTAATTTGGATGAATCATCAAAGAGCCGATTGATCTGTAAATCTCAACTCAAACTGTGACTCTGTAAGGCAGAGAGAGAGAGAGACCGAGAAGATACTCGCACCTTCGCCCCAGTGCTGGCGGCGGCCGCAGAGGAGTCTCCGAAAGAAGGATCTACGTGGCGGATTGGTATTGAAGCAGGTTGCGGCCGAGACCGAGTGAACGACTTCTAGACGCAATTGCCAATCGACGACACCAAATTAAGAAAATTCTGATCTGCTATTCTAGCGCATGCCGCGTAGAGCTGTCCGTCACAATCATCAACAAACAAATTATATAATAAAAAAGTAAAAAGTAAAAAACTACTCCACCTTCGGACCTGTCATTCTCTCAACAAATTTCTTCACCAAACGACGCAACACGTATTAGTAAATTTATTAAAAGCTGAAACAATTTTGAGATTTGCTCATTTGGATCCTTCCTCGAAAAAGCGAAGATAAAACTCCATAAATACTACTAGCATGAATCCCTCCTCAAAATCAATATCTCATTCCCTTTTCCCTCTCCACAACCTGAAGTTCTGAAGCGCCACCCGCCTCACCGTCCATCTTACCTCATCTGATTCTGATCTTTTTTTTATTCTCTCTTTTTTGTTAAAAAATCTGATCTTGGTGTGCATCTCTTCAAGCTTCAAACCGGTGGTATTTTTGTCTCAGTTGCTTTGGTTTAAACATGAGTCATCAGTATGATCAAAACAGAACTCCAGGTAAATTTGGTTGCTGCTGGATCCATTTTCTTTCTTAATTTCTTTCTCGTTTTAAGTTTTTGCAGTCTTCTTGGAATTTGAGAAGTAATTAATGATTTGGGTCCTGTAGAGGCGTATCCACCTCCTCAGAGCTACCCACCACCGGCCGAGGGATACCCTTATCAGGGTCCTTATGTTGTTCCACCGCCGGCTGGTTACCCCATGAAGGATGGCCATGGCTACCCCCAATCAGCTTCCCAGGTTGAAACCAAGGACAGGGGTGATGGATTCTGGAAGGGATGGTGAGTCTCTCTCTCTCTCTCTCTCTCTTTCTCTCTCTCTCTCATATGATGCTTAATTATTTCCATGTTTTTTTCCTCCATTGCAGTTGCGCTGCCTTGTGTTGCTGCTGTGTCTTGGATATGTGCTTCTGAGAAGTTTTGGTCTGATTAATTAGTTGTTTACATTGATCGTTTATGTATTCATTTCATTCTGCTGTATTTATTGTTATTTTGAGGGACGATGCCATTAACTGGTGTGATTGTTTTTAGTCATCCTTTGTATTATTGTCTAAGCTTTTATGATGAGGTTATTATTTTTTGGATAGAGTTTATAGAGATTGGCTTTGGCATTGACCAGTACTACTGAACTGATTATTGGTGTCTTAAATCAAGCTCCCCGGGCTCTTTCATTTTATTCCCAGGGGCAGGGCAATAGAAGGCAAAAGCAATAGGTCTGGTGGACCAGAAAGAACCGAACCGACCGGTCCAATTATTAGGATATGGGTTGGAATTGTATTCCCATTATAATTAGAGGGCAATCTTGTATATAAGACTAATCAAACGGTCTGACTGTTGGATTGACTCGGTGGTGTCATATAAATGCACAGAGAAAGGGTTTTAATGGGTCAAACTCAAAGCATTGGTCAAAGCCCTTCCACTATCATACCGTTCTACATCATAATTTATCTCCTATCTATTAATTTATTTTAAGAAAAAAGAATAATTTAATAAAATGAAATGAAGAAGAAACCGGGCAAGACCAACATTCGGGTTGGATTGGGGTTGAGGGTTCAATAACTTGACACCACTTGCATTTGGATTGGTTCTTGGTTTTTTTATTTATTAATAATGCTATTAATATTTGTTTTCAATCTAAATTCGATTCGAATGTAGTAATGTCAATACTTCATTGTAGAAACTCTGTGTGCTCTAATTTCACCTACACTAACGGGTCAGTTAAAAAGAAGGATTTAAATTACCCTTAGGCTGTGTTTGGTTGCAATTCGAATAAATTTGCACTGATGACAGTGCAAAGTTAAGACATGAAGCGAAGTAAAATCTGAATTTGCATTTTTTATATTTGCACTTTTATGCCTGCAATCAAACACTGCCTTACACAAACACATCTTTACTTTTACTTTACAACCGTTAAGAATCCGTAAAAGAAGGATTTAAATTACCCTTCTTGTTTAGCAGATGGATACAAACATATTTTAATGTTTAAGAAATTACTTTACAACCGTTACATTTTCAAAATGTAACATTTCTTCTCTGCCTAAATTTGCTGGGCGCTCTCTCACCCAATTCAAAGTGAAACGACCTTCAAATTATTTGTTGCTCCAGCCTGCATAATCAACCGCCCAACTGTAAAACTAACCTTATCAATGTCCATGTGAGAACTTATGGCAACACCAACACCAATTATGTGCCCAAATCCCATTAAAAATTAAAATTAGGGTGCGTTTGATTGCGGTGCAAATACAATTTTGTGCGCTGTAAATGATGTCTTGTCTGAATATAAAATGGAATTGGATTTTTATTTTTGTTTGGCATTTAAATACAAAATAGAACCGGATTTCGATTTTGTGTTCCTTTTGTTTGTCATTTAATGATACAGAGTATGATGCAGTTTTGTGAGCGTTTGGTTTATAACATGAAAATAATTGAAAGAATGACTGCAATGTCGAAAATATACAGTTCAAATTTTAGTTTTGGTTAGTGTGTCTTGGCTTTGTTCTGATTTAGACAAATGGGTTTATCGGAAAAATCCAGAAAGAGAGTTTTGGGTCTCAAACTGGTTAGCATTTGATTTTTATTGAGAAACAGAGTTCATAAGTAAATAGCACCCATCAAATTTGGTGATTTCAATATTAACACCCAAACCAATCGTTATGATTGGTGTTGACTGTTGAATGAAATTCTCATAAACCCATTCAGTCCTGCCATGCCAGTTGCAGTCACCGGATTTCATTCTCCTTTCTCTTGCCTTTAGAGCTCAATCGTTCATTTATTGGAGCTTTTAATATTTATGATCTTAATTTTTTCTAAAAAAAAGTTAGAGGAATCGATTATGAAATATCCCTTACCTTCCAGGAAATGAGAGGAAATTGATGCAGAAGCCATCGATGTCTTAGATCATTGATAGGATTTGTGGGTTCAGAGGTCATCGATGAAAAATAATTGAGATCAGACCAATGGAGTTCTTCGAGGTGGTCTTCAAAGTGTGTGAACAACATGCCTTATTTACATCGATAAGGAAGACTGTAAAAGTTTACTTCTATAAAATCAAAATAAACTTTTTTAGGCTTATATCGATGGAAATTCTGACATCAACAAATTTACATTGATTTTGACACCATATACAAACAGCAGAAAAACTGGATCACGAACCGACAGTTGCATCATAAACAAACACAGCCTAAATAACTTTGTTCACATCTTAGGGGATGATTTTGGGATATTCGTTTTCTTTAAACATGGTAATTTCTCCCCTTCTTTTCTCTTTATTGATAAATCAAAGGTATGATGATAAATTTTCTCCGATGCTGATGATGCTGATGATAGATCGTGGAATTCCAAGTTTGGTTCCATTACCGGTGGGTTGTGGATGAAAATTCAGGGAGGAAGTCCAGTTAAGGTCGTTTCAGTTGAATTGGGTGGGAAATCTCCTCTCATAATCTTTGATGATGGGGTGCTTCTGCTAGATTTTCTGGTTCTAGCAATCTCTCTCTTTGTTGGGATTTTTCTTGAGGTGGTGGCCATTGATAGGATGTTTGAGCTCAGAGGATGAGGAAGCCTCCCAACCGCCCTTATACACGTTCAGTCGCTTTCATTGCTAGTCATCACTGTTATTTTGTTTGTTATGTTCTCTTTCCGCATTTAAAATATTTTATTTTTATTATAAGTTAAAATTATATTACTTAAAATTCATCATGACTTTTTCGTATTCTTTTTAAAGCTATCAGGACTTTTTCAAAACCTCTAAATAGCCTCCTATTAGTGAGAATATTGCCCAAAACTCACTTTCTACTTATCATCAGTGATTACTAATAGAAGTTGCCACATAAGCATTTAACTATTTTATATAACTAAACTATTCCTGAATAGTCAGCAACCTTATTACATACTTTTATGACAAAATTATCCCTAACTTTCCCATATATATCATTATATATATATATATATATAATCAGGATTAATTGGGTTAAATTTAGGAGTAATCATGGGTTAAGCCTTGGTTGGGCTTTGCACCTATGGTAATTGCTATATGCATATAAAATACATGCGGGTTGGGCTTGGTCCAGACCATACTTGAAGTTTAGGTGCAGGCCCAACACTAAAATTTGTAAGCCTAGTGTGGGACCGGGCTCAGGTCAAGGGTAGTTTTATTACATGGAACGTATTACTAGATACTCTATTCCAAATCACGGAATAAGTCATTAGTCATTAATAAGAAACACTCCAGTATCTATATATATATAGATAGATAGTTTAATCAGTCGAAGGTCGTTATTGGTATTGTATTGTATTAGTTTGAATAACAGAAATAAATATATTCTGTACTGTATCTGCGTCTCGTTTATCCCTACGAGTTACCAGTCAAACTAAAATAGAACGATCTTAGAAGGGAAGGGATATRATGAAATTTCTTGATTGGCTCTTCCCAGAGGAACGATCTATTTTATTTGACTGATAGAGCCTAGAAATTACTGACAAAACTTTTTAGAGGTTTTGAAAATTTGATGATGAGTTTAAGAGAAATGCAAAAAAATCATGATGAATTTTAGATATTATCCCGATGTTAAAAAAAATTATATAAAAGTGATATTAGATTTAATATATTTAAACCGTGACCCTATGAACAGGTTGAACGGTTCAACCGCATGGTTAATCAACGACGAATCACAAACATTGGCATAACCCACCCCTAACCCCATAGTATCGTGTCAATGAGGATTTACCGGTAATCACCTAATCTGATTATTTTATTTTCCAATATTCATATACAATTCGAAAATAAAAAGCATCATTTTTACCATCGGCCAGCTTTGATGACGATGTATAAGACCAATCATTTCTTTCATGCATTTTAAATAAGTGTAAATTGATTGGATTAGGTTTGGATAAAGCAAACCCAATTGGTCAAATTTTAAAATTAATGTTTACTAAATTTTATTCTTTGTCAATTCGTGAAGCAGGTAGGCGTATCTCTCTAACCCACTTTTTAAAATTACTACTAATCGTACTCAGTTGCATTGGAGTTGAGGGAGAATGGATTCAGTGCTCACATGGCAGTGTTGACACTATTTTCATAGCGTTTAACAGCCATGCATAGGGAATATTTTTGTATTTATATGTTTTTTATGGATTATAACCTCATTGTTATAAGGCTGTAAGTGTAAGGTACTGTGCAAATGGTGTGAGCCCAGTCTTCTCCGAACCAAATCCATTTCTAGTTGAAGAACATCTTCGTTAAGGGCTTCAACCTGACTTTGTCTAAGGGCTTGTTCGTTTCTTCTTAACTCTTATCTCTTAATAGGAATCTATTAACTTTAAGATAAAATCGTTGTTCCTTTCCTCTTATGTCTTATCTCTTATTTTTTAATGTTCAATCATACAATTTTTTTTTTCAATGATACCCCCAAAAGACACAAAAACTCTCATATATATATGGGGTCAAAATAGATATTTAATAATTTTCAGAATTCAAAATTCATAACAACATTCTCTGCATTTAGATTTCAAAGAAAAGAAAACTTCACCAATACCAATAGGGGTGGCAATTTTTCACCCAACCCACCCATTTACTTGGTGGGTTGGAAATGGGTTGATCTTGGGTTGTGGATAACCCATTGGGTTAACCACTACAAATAAAAGTATTAATTCCTTAACTTTTTTTTTATTTTCTTTATATGAATGAAATAATTTATAATTAATGCATTAATTTTTTTATTAATTATTGATTAAATTTAATTTTATCTCGAATCAACACACTTCACTATCCAAATCAACTTGACCCAAGTCCAAACCAGCTCAACTTGGTCTAAATATGAACAGACCCAATCACCTCGGTCTAGTTCGTTTGGGTCGTCCAGTCCAGTTCAGGCTGATCCGGGTCCGATGTGATGGGCCAACAGGTGCTTGTTATGCACAGTTTGGATCATTGGGAACGACCAGCATTCGCACAACCCGACCCGAATCCAGGCCGGGTCCGATTCACATATATTGACCCATTCTAGGTCAATTGGTTTGGGCCCAAACCCGTGCACAAACCTAATATGGGCTGATCCAAGTCAATCCACCATTAACTGAATCGGTCTAGTCTGGTCCGACTAGATTGATCCAGATCTAAACGGTTCAAC